ACTTTATTGTAGTTTTATTAATGAATGAGAGGGATTTATGTTAAAATTCTTCAAAATACAATGTTGTTCCACGACTGTCATATTTTCAGGGTAAATTCTAAGAAAAAATTCTCTCCGTGTACAAGCATTGTATATATTATTTATAGCGATTTTTGACAAAATAAAGTTGGTGAGTAAATTTTTATAATCACCTATTTGGTTGTCTGACAAGTCTTTGGCATTATTAATCGTAATATCCCTGTATTCATAGAAAATGACATATCTTAGAAGATCTTTGCTACAATTAAGTAATCATTATTCTACTAAGTTTGTAAATACAATCTCTTTTATTAAGAATGGCTATGTGGAATAGATACCAAATGAGACGAGATTAGACGACAATTAATTTTAATATATTTAGAGGACACATTTTCAGAGAATATACTTACAAATATATTATATTTCATATAGATATATATTTTTTCACTTTTCATATAGAAACTATGGTACAAAAACAAATTACGTATTTTATGATTAAAATAACTATTTTATTTGTATTAATACTATAATTACTATTATTTCTCAAAATATAGAACTGATATTAAAATAAAAATTGTGTTTTTTATATGTATTGTCCACATGACAAATATGCTATTGCCAATCCTAGAACGTGTGACAATCAACCCAGAACACGGAGTTAATTGTTATATTTTCGCAATATCGTTTAAAATTAAATAACTTATTTTTATGATATGATGAATTCACAAGTAATATTTTTTTTAATACCTAAAGGATGTAGGTATATTGTAACGTATATAATATTTAAAAATGAGGCATCCACTTTTTTCTAAAAATCAATATTCAAAAATTGTAACAATCGGCCCCGGTCTCCCCTACTTTGCGTTGTGCTGCTCCTGAGCGTGCCAACTTTAGACAATATAATTCGTTAATTTTAAACGCTTATAGTTCAAAAGTCATTACTAGTGTACCCGATGAATACAAAAATTTGTAATTGAGCTCCAAATTATGTTTATACAAAATTTTCATATAAAGAAAATGTAATCATTCAAAATTTTGGGTTTAAAAATAATATTTATTCACAAAAAACCATGAATATTTAACGAGTATTCGTATTCATTCAAACAAAATGTAAACTGAAAAAGAAAGCTCTAATAAGCAATCGTTACTCCTTAACTATAACCAGCACTGTGATGACTTTAAGTAAAAATAAAATACGTTATAAAGTTTAATTAAAGAATAAAAATGATAAATATGTATATGAAGTAATAAATAATAATTACAAACTTCCTACATATGTATATTACAAGTGTTATGACATGAGGTACATATTTTATATAATGTGTTTATTGAATTTAGTGCACTAAGTTCAATTTGCACATTTTGTATGCTTTGGACATTAATCCCGCACGCTAAAAATGCCGTACATCTCAAATAGGTGGGATATACAAAACTACAAATTAAACAACAAATATAAAAGCAAAGCACTTGTATTTTGCTATACAACGTGCTTTACTATTCCTTCATACGCATGTATCATGAAATAACCACTTAGTCTTTTACACGCCCTGCAGTAATCATTTTATATAGATTATAATTTATGATGGCGCTATTTATTACAGTGACAAATCGATTCAACTCACAATAATTTCATCAATATTAACAGTAAGAAGCTGAAATCATAATTCAATATTAATATAACATAAAGGCATGTAACATAGAATTGCGGGAAAATTACTCCTACTCCTTCTATTTTTTCTGACTTCTGCGGCGTAAATTCCGGCGCTGTATATTTGCCGGAGTTACTTATATTCTCAAATATACGTATATATATTTGTAATACATTTTAAAAGTATCCCACACGTTGCTTGACTTCTTGGTTAAATATATAAACATAAATTTATTTTTTCATATTATTAAGTAATCGCTATGCATATCATATCTAATATTGGAGTGTCTGGTGGCGCTCATCGACTTTGGTCTCACAAAAGCTATAAAGCAAAGTTACCGTTAAGAATTCTACTTTTGATATGCTTTAGTGCAGGTGTACAGGTAATGTTAATAAATTTGCTATTTTACGTATATTATATATACAAGTACATATGTAACTTCATCATTTCTTGCATTTATTAAGTAATTCTAAATTATATGTGCACGAAGCGTCTTCTTCCTCTTTACGAAAAAATCAAAGTAAACAATATCTGATAAAAAAG